GTTCTTTTAACTTTTGCTCATGCTTTCCTATTTTAATTGTACTGAGTGATTACTTATGCAATATCATCAGCAAAAATACATATGAAACCGGCCCTCCCTGGTGGCGCAGTGGGTTAAAGCACAGCACTAAGAAGTCAAAGCCACTTCCGCATGAGTTCGATCCCCGCCTGCCCCGGAGGTGACCACATGGCGTGGCAGACCTCTCCTGACCCGCCCGCTGCTCCCCTCAGCAGTGTACTTCGTTGATCTGCCTGTTCTTCTCCCCACTCTGTCTCTGGTGAATCCTCTCACCCTCCACATCTCTGGCCTGTACCCCAGTTCTGTGTGAATAAATAAATAAATCTTTAAAAAAAATACATATGAAACCTTGTATTTGTTTTATTAAATGTAATAGATGATTTTGGTGACTTTGCCCTCTAAAATTAATAATCTGTAGCATATGCTTCATCAAGAATTTTTTAATAATGATATTGGTAGAATTGTTCTGCCACATTTTTAAGTTATTTTCTTTTTTGTGTGTGCCTTCAATACTAAAGAAATACCAGAGATAAACCATTATTTGAAGCTATAGATAAAGCATACTTGATTATTTTTGATTTTCAAAATTCTCAGATCTTAAAATAGAAAGAATGGAAATTTCCTTTTCTCTTACAACTCCCAAATTTGAAAGCTAAGGTAATTCTCAGTTCTAAAAACCAGTTTTTAGTATAAAAATGAAATGTTGCTAGCTATGAACCAGAAAGCACTAGCTCTGAGGTAGATGTTCTGAAGCTGGTTTTGAAGTCATTTGGTCTAAAGAGATGAATAATCTATATGTTTTTCAGCAAAAATCTGAAGGCACAGATAGAATACTTTGTCCAACTCCAGTTGTTTAAATACAGCAGAGGATGTAGCAGAGCAATATTTTTTCCATAATACACAAACATTTTTACAGTGTTCATAAATCAAGGAAACAAAATAGATTTTTACATAAATGACTGGTGAGATAAATAGCATTCATGCCCTGCAGTAAAATTTTCAGAATCAAATAAAGAAGGAAATAAGCACTTCTTAAAAAAGCATAATTAATCCAAAAATGCCAGTTCTTGCCCACGATGAAAGAATCTCTCTTTTTGTTTCCTTTGCTCTGGCCAGAGACAGGGCACAGGGAGACGTGGCCAGTTGCTCCCCTTCCTTCCTTTCTAATTCCAGAAGGAGGATTTGAGGAGCCTTGTGAAAACCATAAAGTAAAGTAAGAGAACTGAGAGAGAAGACAGGTTAATAGGAAACCAAAGGAGAATAAAATGGTGAGATTCACAGGAGTTAGTGCAATAGAAATGCATTTGATTTTAGAGGCCAGAGAAACGTTCAACCCAAGAGGTTGTGAGGGTGAGCAGGAGAGTGGAGACAAAGGAACCACCAGCCCCTTCACCTCCGGAGGAGGCTCCTCTGTGTTTAACTTCCTGTCAGCCCTCTCTGTCTTCTCTTCTGGGGCAAATGAGCAAGCAACCGGTACATCCTCTCTGCCATTTTTCAAAGGTCTGAGGTCACACAGCTCTTCTTTTTTTCTTCTTCTTCTTGTTGTTGGTTTATTTATTTATTTATTTATATGGTGTGTGGGAGGGGTTAATATAAACTAATTGGAAATTTGGTCACTGATCACACAAAACCACTTTGAAATCAATGTAAATGGAACTTTTTAGACAATTTTATAGCAAAGTAAAATTCAAAATCAAAGAAAATAACTGATTTATGGTCTCTTTCTATGTAAATACATAGTGAAGAATGTCATCTCTGCTTTGGGTTTTGGGTTTCATTAGTTTAGAACTCTGTTTCTGTCTGTCTGTCTGCCTGCCATTTCTCAACAATCGCTAGTTACCAAAACATCATTGATTTCGATCAATGTATACTAGGAGAAGCATGTTTTCCCAGTGGGCTTTGCAAGTCTCTCATTGTTGTGGCTGTTTTACTTTAGTTTTGAGTTAATTCTTGAGTTGTGTTAAGCCTATCTTGGACCAAGAATAAATTAAGCCAAGGAGCTCATAACAGGGACAAGCATATCCTAGAAGCCAGCTCTTTTTACAGTGTTTTTCACACTGCTTGCTGTCTTTTTCAGGAGCTCACAGTGGAATCTATTGGAATGCACAGAAAACGTTTGACCCTTTTTCTTGGGTTGATTTTCTGTCCTTTTTTATTTTTACCAAATGGAGTGTTTCTTCCTTCTGCTACTATTTGCAAAAAAAAGATATTTAATTCAGTAAGGATTCATTGAGTCTCTTTTTTATTTCAGCACTTTACGTATTCTGCCATGACTTTTATGTCCACTTACCCTCACATAAAGGCACATTTTCAATGCAGAAAAAGATCTCCAGAATGTCATCTTTTAATACCGTTGTTGAATAAGTCCACTGAAATTAAGGCATTTGTCCTACATTTTAGTTTATTGAGATGAAGACAGTGATCACAGGGATACCTCTTTGAACTTCTCCTTTATTTTCCATTCCATTTTGATATCTCAGGCAGGTAAGTGTGTGTGTGTGTGTGTGTGAGAGAGAGAGAGAGAGAGAGAGAGAGACAGACAGACAGACAGACAGACAGACAGACAGACAGACACGTTGTTCTAAAGTAATGAAAACCAAAACCCCCAAATTTGTCTTTGGAGCCAAAGACAAACAGGAATTCTTTTATAATAATAGAAGGGAAGGACTTTGTAAACCAAAGTTCTGTGTGGAACACAAAAGGCCAGGATAAGCAGCCAGTGAAATGAGGCCCATAATGGCACTTCCCAACACAGTGTCTGGAAATTCCATAAACTCACTCATCTGGGGCAAGGACTGAAGGCCCTAGAAGAATATAATTTTTTAAAGAAATAGTTGAACGGCAATTCGTTTGGATTCGTATAGGCTGTGAGTCAGTCACCCAGAACAAATTTAGAGAAATGCATACTAGGAAAATTTCAGCGAGATAGTTAGAAAGAAAAGAAATAGGATGTCCCTCCCTGGTGATGCAAAGGGTTAAAGTGCAGCACTAGGAAGCAATCGGCAGCCACTTCAGCAAGAGTTCGATCCCCAGCCAGGGAGGTGACCCACATAGCGCAGCAGACCCCTCCTTTCTCCCCGCTGCTCCCCTCAGCAGTGTACTTCGTAGATCAGCCTGTTCTGCTCCCGCTCTGTCTCTGGTCACTGTCCCTACCCCTCTGACTTGAACCCCAGTTCTGTATGCAGAGATAAATAAATCTTTAAAAAGGAAAGAAAAAAAAAAGAAATAAGGAGGGTCACTGCTAGAGGAAAAGATCAAGGCCATGGGCACTGTGGGACCAGACAGTGACAGCAAGACACAGCGAGTGCAGGGGAAACACCCTGAGGACACACCGCTTGTCCCTCCAGTTCCCAACACCACTGAATTTGATGAAGCACAGTAAGAAGAGGCAGAAAGGATGGGAAGAGGATTGGGTGCTGCCTTCAGGAGGTCTCCCGACCCGCTCAGGCAAACTGGACATCAAAGACAGCCTGCTCCTTGTCATGGTTTCAGATCCAGGTCTCTGCCTAAAGCACGTGTGGCTGACTGTTCACCCAGCTTCTGGGACAACACCCACATCAGCATAGAACAGGACAAAAAGCTCATGCTGGCTTGCTATTCCTGCAGATCACAGCGTCCCTGCAGAGAAAGCCTTTGGAGATGTGCTAGAGGCAATTAGAATTCCCAACCCTTCAGTCTGGTATAATTCTCTTTCATGTATTTAGGAAATTGCTGAATCCCCTTTCACATGTTGCTGTGATTCAAACTGTGAGTAATACGGATAAGAATACTGGCTATCTTTGGAAGTGTTTTTGGATAAATTGAGAAAAATTAAATTACAGCATTGTTCCTGTAAAATGCCAATTGAAATAGCTTTTAGAGAAATTCATTTCTCTTTTCATGATGTAGGACTCTAACCTAATTTGGTTCCACAAACATCTCATTCTAGAGGAGGAAATGAAATTTTTTAACTGAAATAAGCATACATCAATAAGAACCTAGTGCTAAGATGAGCCTCAAGAAAAGGTTAGAATTATGATGAATCATAAAACTCACAGCAAAGAACCTGATTATTTAACAGAAAACACTCTATTTAAGATAAGATGTGAAATGCAAGGTCAGCTGGGGAGCAAAGTGACTACTAACACTGAGCATGCCTTTGGCTCACACAGATGTATAATCAGTGTCGTAGTAAGCACCCCTTTTCTTTCTACCTTTTGGAATAAACAAATAAACTCCTTATAAATATCATCAAAAATTATATACTATTCTATATTATACAACATACACATATATTGCATGATATAACAGCATGTATATGTACATCAGTGTAATGTTATATATATATATGTATATATATATATATAAAAGACAGCGCATGTGAACATGTATTTATATGTATATAATCCCTCATATATTTAGCACTAACATGAATTGTCATTCAGTTCTGGATCCTGGCTGAGAGTTCCCTGTGTCTGTGATGCCAATCACAGTGACCAGTGCCTAAAACATAAAGTAAATCATTATGGCAGCTATTATTATAACCATGTTTCAGATAAAACTTACAGGTAGAGAAATTGGGAAAATATAAGGCATAACTGTATGATTGTAAATAGCCAATTTGCATCTCCCTGGTGGCCTAAGGGCTAAGTCTCAGCACTATTACCACTATGGCCTGAGTTCGATCCCTGAGATGACCCATATGGCAGAGCAGACCTCTCCTGTCCTGCCCACTGCTCTCCTCAGCAGTGTACTTCAGTCAATCCACCTGTTCTGCTCCCCACTCTGTCTGTGATGAAACTCCTCAACCCCCAACCTCTGAACCTCTGGCCTACACCCCAGTTCTCCTACATAAGAAAGCCAGTCTAATTCTAGATTTCTACCATAGCTAATCGCAAATGTTTCCCAATCATGTCTTCTTCTTTTTTTTTAATAAAAATGTATCTGTGTTTCACACGGGAAACTTTTTCTGAATCTGTCATTATCTTCCTTTCATCTCCTAGATACACCAAGATGAAGACTGCCACCAATATCTATATTTTCAATCTTGCTCTGGCAGATGCCCTAGCGACCAGTACCCTGCCCTTTCAGAGTGTCAATTACCTGATGGGAACATGGCCCTTTGGAACCATCCTCTGCAAGATTGTGATCTCCATTGATTACTACAATATGTTCACCAGCATATTCACCCTCTGCACCATGAGTGTCGACCGCTACATCGCAGTCTGCCATCCCGTCAAGGCTCTGGACTTCCGCACGCCCCGCAATGCCAAACTTGTCAATATCTGCAACTGGATCCTCTCGTCAGCCATTGGTCTGCCTGTAATGTTCATGGCAACAACAAAGTACAGGCATGGTGAGTAATGTTGCAAGTCCAAGGGGTGAAGAGTCGTAGATCAAGGAGAATTTATGGAGTGGCCCTATCTGTTCCTCAAGTTGTAATTTTAATGATTCTTTCCAAAGAAATAGTTATGAATATCTTCAATTAGGACTTTTTCTATAATTATAAGACAGCTAAATACTTTAACGAGAATATAATCTATGGGCTCCTGATTTCTCTGCACTGACTTCATCAAAATGACGGGGAAATAAGAACACAGTAATTAGAGTTCAAACCCAAAAGGCATGAAGTAGAAGCTTGTTTTAAAATGTTAAATGACAAATTTATCTTTTTAGACCTCATATCAGAATGATGAATCACCCATCAGCAAGTGGAGTGAAAACACCCATTAGCTGTAATCTCCTATAAACTTTGACAGTGGTTGCATTTTTTTATACCAATATAGAGCCCTCAGATGATCTACCTCATGGTGGGAGGCCCAGTTGCTGGCTTAATGAAGGCTTAATTTGATCAAAGTATATAGAAAAATTATAATTTTAGGGGGAAAAAAAGCCTAGAAAATAGTACTCCCTGAAAATCAACAGAGAGCTGAGTTTCTCCTACGATTTATTTAAATCTTCCTTTGCTGGTTTGCATAATAGCCTTACCTTAGCTCTGGCCAAGACTATAAATTAGTGAAAAAAATGGGAATAAGAATGCACAGTGGGCCCTCCCTGGTGGCGCAGTGGGTTAAAGCACAGCACTAAGAAGCTGAAACCACTTTCGCATGAGTTCGATCCCCGCCTGCCCCTGAGGTGACCACATGGCGTGGCAGACCTCTCCTGACCCGCCCGCTGCTCCTCTCAGCAGTGTACTTCGTCCATCTGCCTGTTCTGCTCCCCGCTCTGTCTCTGGTGAATCCTCTCACCCTCCGCATCTCTGACCTGTACCCTAGTTCTGTATGAATAAATAAATAAATCTTTAAAAAAAAATACACAGTGATAGAAGTCAAAGTCGCTGCTAATTCTTCCTTCTCCTCCTTTCCTTCTAGGTTCCATAGATTGCACACTAACATTCTCCCATCCCACTTGGTACTGGGAAAATCTGCTGAAGATCTGTGTTTTCATCTTTGCCTTCATCATGCCTGTCCTCATCATCACCGTGTGCTACGGACTGATGATTTTACGTCTCAAGAGCGTCCGGATGCTCTCTGGCTCCAAAGAAAAGGACAGGAACCTGAGGCGGATCACCCGGATGGTGCTGGTAGTGGTGGCAGTGTTCATTGTCTGCTGGACACCCATTCACATCTATGTCATCATCAAAGCCTTGATCACCATCCCAGAAACTACTTTCCAGACTGTCTCCTGGCACTTCTGCATTGCTCTGGGCTACACAAACAGCTGCCTGAACCCAGTGCTTTATGCATTTCTGGATGAAAACTTCAAACGATGCTTCAGAGAGTTCTGTATCCCAACTTCGTCCACCATTGAGCAACAAAACTCCACTCGAATTCGCCAGAACACGAGAGACCACCCCTCCACGGCCAATACGGTGGACAGGACAAACCATCAGGTATGCAGCTTCCAGAACGAGGTAGACCTACCGGGAATGATGTGACATGATAGGACGTGTAGTGACAGTGTTGTCAGATAGCATGAAGGAGGGAGGAGTCACACTGGGGCCCTCCTCTTAGCAGGGGAGCTTCATTTTATAACCTGAGCTTTATATACATATGCACATATGCGTTTAGATAGAGAAAGATGCCAAAGAGAAAGCATAAAGTTGCTAGAAATCACCATTTTGTCTTCTGTGCAAGATCAGTAATTAGCATATTGTGGAAGACACTCTGTTTCTTCTCATTTTCCCCAGCAATGATATTTCATGCATCTCACTCCAATATCCCTGTTACCCTCCAAAGCTCTGTTTCTGTGGTTTAAAAGAAAAGGACATCACTTAGCCCAATGTGGTGGGTACAAAATGTTCCCAGCAAATCAGGGTTACAACAAAGGAGAATGGAGAAAAACAGCGAGTTCTAGCTCTGTTAAGCTATTTCTTTGTACATTTTTACACTTGGATTCTACGTGTCATTCAAAGATAAACCCCAATTAGATGTTAATTTAGTTTTAATTAACTATTAGAACTGAGTCGGCTTCATACCAGCCCTCAGACTTGTTGGGATTAATATTATGAGAAGTGACATTATTGAAAGTTGTATTCTATGTGCAGAAGAGTGCCTACTCGGAGGAGTACCACACAAAATTATACACATGAGAAATCTAGAAGGAGCAAGAAGAAAAACCTGTGTCTAAGTTAATGTGACGTTGTTGAGCCACTAGTTCGCGAATTTGGAGTCAAGTCCATAAAGCAATTGAGACGTATCACTTAATGATTCACATTAATTTAAGTAAACTTTCTATTTCAAATAACAGTGCCAGCACTAAAAAGAAATCCATAACTTGTATAATTTTATACCACAGAACTCAAATTCAAGTTTCCTGTGAAGTAAACTCTTGAGCTATAACCCCAGATAAAGTTCCTCCAGACAGGGAACAGGATTATGGGGACAGAGGCCTGGAATCTGAGGAGATCCTGGCCACAGCAGAATTCAGCTGCTTTCTCTCTAGTTCTTTGTCCCCTCAGCCCACCTCTCTGTCCTCACTACCACCACCCATCCCAGACCAGGCTCTCTTCTAATTGACCAATGGGCCTCTGGAATCGGGCCCAGATAGATCTGCCTAGAGGGGCATCCATCCTCACACCTGAGACAAGAGGCCATGCTAAAGGACCCCAAAAGAGTATGGTAATGGTGGCAGACCCTCTTCAGCCAAAGGGAGGTGATTAATCTCACTTTTAATTCCTTTCAGAAATAAAAACCAGAAAGAAATGGTTTTCTGTTGTTGTTGATGAAAGAAGTGCTTTTTGTTGTTGAAAAATGTTACTCTACTTCCCCCCCTCTATTGTCTTCCACATCAAGACCTCTAAACGTACTCCTTTGACTAAACAGCCTCCTTCTCAGCAGCTATCAAAATCTTGTGAGTAACTTTAAGAGGCTAGTGATGTAAATTGATTTTTCTCCAACCTGAGAACAATATTTCAAGAGTGCAAGTTAAAACTCTCAGCCAGAAACTAAGGTCAAAGTATTTTTCACTAGAGCAGAATATTTCCACTGGAGCAAAGTGATGGTCATTATAAAGTGTGGCTCCTCTTTCCATGCCTCCCCAAGCCTCCGCTCTCCTTAAAAGCTTAGGCTGTGGCTGTTGGAAATGAGTCCTGGACCTCCTGATCCCCTAAGGCTCCCTGCAGAAGTAGCTCTGACCTGTTTGGAGGGGCCCTTTTCACTAGTGCAGCTGAATGAGTTTCCTTTAGTTGCTTCAACACTGCCCTTACTTAACTCCCTTCCAAACCCACATTTTCACATTGTGTGGTTCTTGCACAGTCAGAGAGTGGAGAAAGGACACTAATTGGGAAACTCTGTTCTAAGTAACTAAAAGGTTTGCTTTAAAAAGACATCCAATTAGGACTCCTCTTCTTTGCTGCTTCTATGAAGCCACATCAGTGTCAGATAACAACAGAAACACATTAGCTCTGGGCTTGGCTATGTTCCCAAAATGCCCAGCTGGGAGAGCTGGACAGAGAAGAGCAGCTGCCAGGAAACGAGGAAAAGACACTCCAACATATTTGAAAATTAAGATAAATCAAAGACCTCCCTCAGTAATGTCCACCGATGTGCCATTCCGTGGAGAAAGGAGACCACACAGACACATCAGGCTCAGTCCTAGGTCTGTGGTGTTTGTTTCCATCATACATCAGAATAATAACCTTATTTGAAGGAAAATCGGAAATGTCATGGCTATGTCTATAGACAGCATTGATTAGCTGTACAACTTCAGTATCTGGCAAGGAGCTTTTAAATTTTTTACATCATGAGCCATGATGTTAGAAACAAAGCTACTTGGATTTACATTGCCTTTTTAACTGATTGTTTGAACTTTGTATTGTTGTAGATGTGTATGTCCTGCCTGTGTATTTATATTTTCTCCAAGAAATATATTCTACTATTTGTGTCACACCTCAAGCACATTAGTCAACTTCATATTCTACAGATCAGAGATCCAATATCAAACCTTCCCAGGGTGTCTGTATTCTGACAGCCGTACACTGAGACCATGTCCACACAGCGAAAAGTGAAGTGGAGAGTTGGCAGTTTTCAAGGTAATTTGCTAAGCCATGTGAGAAAATGCTGTGCCCATCATAAACATTGAGTCATCCTTACATGGTGAAGGTCTACTCAGTTGACATCTGTTGCAAAGCAAATCATTCCAAAGTTTAGAGACCAAGAGCAACCCTTTGGTTAATAGTTTGTGATTGCATAGTTCGTAAATAAATCCATAATTTATTAGAACTGGGCTGGCTGGGCTGGGCAGGTGGTTCAGTCTTGGTTAAGCACACTCTGTGGTCAACTGTAGCTGCCAAGTCACCCATCAGTTGATGATCTAGGGTGACCCCAGTAAGCAAGAGAGTATCCACATGCACCATGTTGCCCCAGACCCCAGATTCAAGGAAGGGAAGAGACTGCACCTGTCGGGGTCAGGATATGTAGTCACGTTGCCAAGGAGTGTGTCTCTAATGGGGGAGTCATTGTGGCCACTTGTGCTTACCACCTAAGAGCAGGCACAAGTGGCATGGGATGGGGAGCTGCAGGCTTCTGAGGCATGAAGCACATCTTGCTCATTCCTATACTCCCGGCATCTGCCCAGAACTGTGACTGATTCATTCAGCAGAACTCAGAAGCGGTCTGCTGGATGAATGAGTGATCAATGGACTCTTGGCATTCAGGAAATTCAGAGGGTGGCAAGAATGAACCCTCTCCTGTGTAACCGACCAGCAACCTCAGTCACAACCTAGCACTGACATTATTTCAGGTTCACCCTTCTGTAACAGGGAAATATTCCCCAGACAGTCTTCCTTTTCACATCTTCAGTCTCTTACCTCTGTTCAAGATCCATGCCTTTCCAAAAAATGTCACTTTTGTCAAAAAGATTGACATGTGTGTTTGTCCTCTACTTTTATTTATTTATTTATTTATTTAATACTCTTGAATGAGGAAGCCAAAGGCTGGTGTTAGTGCCCTCAACAGCCATTGCCCAGAATAAATATGAAAAAATAAATAAATAAACGACGTCATGTTCTTTTGTGCATTCCAGGGCTCAGCCTGCTGCTCCAGCTGTATGCCCCATGCCTGATTTATGTTCTGCTTGTGATCTTTATGGCTTCTTGATTTGTATTAGGTAACTTGGGAAGAAGCACTCATTTTCCATCTGTTCACAGTGCAATTTAATTCCTCTGTATTAAACAGAGAACTCCACTTTGCTTCTGAACCTCCCCACCACCACCACAACCAGCACCATTGACCCAGATCAAGCCAGGCCCCACTAAGACATGAGATGCTGGCTGCCATTAACCTGTCTTCATTGCTTGGCTTCTACCCTGGTTGCATGCTATCCTGAATTTCCTTGTTTTGACACATACATGTATATTTTAAAACACTTAACCTTCTTTGGGAAAAAAGAAGACTCAGTTGAATCAACGGGATTATTATTTAAGCATTTGTATTAACTATAGCCCTATTAACAATGCTATATTACAATTTCAAGACTGTGGAGATTAACAAGTGCTGTCATTCGCATTACCAAACTACCTCCTTATCACAATCTAATGGGTAACTATGAAAAAGTAAGTGCTTAGGGAGGTTCTATGATTAGGCAAGATCAAACAAGACTCTGAGCCCAGACAAACACCAGGCTTCTGAGATTGATGTGAAGCTTTGCTCTGCTTTTCCACACATCACTACTTTGCACCCAAATGTTACCGGATAGTCTCAGCCAGAGATTCTCAAGCTTTCCTAAGAGCTTCAGAAAATGTAAGCTCTACTTCATTCTGGTTCACTGGGTCAAGGCCAAAGTAGTCAAGGTGGAATCCAAGAATATGCATTTCTAATGAGACGCAACTGAAAACTCGGATTTAAACTAGTTGCATCCAAACACTATCAAATTTACTATGTTGTCTAAACTCAATGATCATTTCAACCAAGCAGTTAATATGATTTTTCTCACCAAATAAAATCTTGTATTTAGCAAAATAACACAGTTATCCTTGGAAAAAGTTTCACCTTTTTAATAGCTTAATAAGATTTAGAGGACAAAATAATGTTACAGTGTTAAAGCTAACTGCATTTTAATCTCATGCTAACTCCTTATTAATGAAGCAAGTCCTTTCTTAAACCCTTTCATTACCAATTTTAAAGCATTTTCTTGACCATTCAATCAAATAGAAACTCAAGAAATTAGGAGATTATTTGCATTTGTATTAAGAAAACCATATGATCCCCCAGCTAAACTAAAAGCAGAAGTCTAATTTTTAAAATCAACCTCATTACTCTCAAAAGCTGGATCAGAATTTTTTTTTGTAAGACATCTGTGGAAAGCTAATTTGAAAAGGAAAAGCAATTCAATTCCATGACAAAAGCCCCAAATGAGAAGAGCTCCCCATTCACAGAGCTGACCATGTTAATGCATATTTTGGGAATGAAAGCAAATGACTATTCTTCCAATTCAGTGGTTTAAAAGATGGTCCCAGGTGTGAGTATGAGTGTGACTGTGACTGTATGTGACTGTGAGTGTGACTGTGACTGTGACTGTGACCCTCACAGTCATCCAGGGCAATGATAATATTGTTTAATTGGAATTATGCTATGCCCAGAAACTTTTGACTGTGAATGCCATTAATAAGTTATTGAGCAACTCGTGTCCCATCTAGCTTAGGTAGATCAGCAATGTAAGGATTATTCTTTCTACTGTGGAGGAAACCAATATTAAAGGAATTCATTCCCCCGATGTCATAATTAAAAGGTGGTGCTGAGCAATGAATCCAGTGAAATGAGATCTTGCAGCCCAGCCTCTTAAGGCTACTCTTCTTGATAGTGACCTATCCCAGTAAATCTTAGCATTTATATGCCAACAGTTTGAAAGACTTAAAGTTTTTATATAGGTTTGTGGAGATTATTCATATTGTACTCACATTTTTGCATGTAAACATTGAAATAGATTGGTGACTAGCATGGGGAATTAGAAATTCAATAACGAGGATGTTTGTTACCATCATATGAGCTCCCATTATTTGAACTAAAATTTTTGTCATCATTAAAGTCACGTAGACTTTTCTGAATGATAGTCGTTGCTTATCGACATGAAAATTTTTCACTCATGTCGGAGAGGTTCACTGTGAATTATCCTTTGTGACTGCGACTGCAGTCAGGGCTTTTCTACTGGAGAAGGCAGCTCCTCCATGGGTGGTGGTCTGGAGTGCCAGGACAGGGAGCCAGGTGGGTGCCCCACTGTCTCACTGTACCTGTGCCAGTTAGAGAGCAAGCCCCTTCATCTTACAAGATTTGTTTCGCAACACTCACATAAGTGGGATGAACCAAAAGATAATTTGGAATAAAGCACAGCACCGTGAATGTTGAAAGACTCATGAACTAGCTAGAGTTCTTCCCTGCTGAATATTCTGAATTTTTAGAAGAGAGAGTTCTTTTTTTAATGATAATTTTTTTAATTTTTAAAGATTTTGAATTTATTTATGTATGCCTACAAGAATTGGGGTACAAACCAGAGATGCTGGAGGTGAGAGGAGTCACCATAGACAAAGTGGGGAACAAAACAGGCAGATCTACTGAGATACACTGCTGAGGGGAGCAGCGGGTGAGACAGGAGAGGTCTGCTGTGCCTTGTGGGTCACCTCCCTGGCCGGGGATTGAATTCATGCTGCAGTGGCTGCAGATGGCTTCATAGTGCTGTGTTTTAACACACTGTGCCACCAGGGAGGGCCCAGAGGCATGAGATCTAAAGATGGAATGAATCCATCCAATTACTGTAGCATATCTGGTGCTTGCTTTTCCAACTAGTATGGCTAATAAATCTTAGTAACATATTTTTCCTTAAAAAAAAAAAAAACTAACTAAAAATGAAATGTCAATTATATGGCTGATCTTAAGTGGTAAATTGATATTGCTATTTGAAAGCCATTCACCGTGAAAAGACAAACAAAAAAGTTCACCATGAAAAAGTTCTCACACTGAGATTTAGTGTTTTATAACGTGGATCTCCATTTGCTATCTTGTTGTTCTCTTTCAACTTTCTACACTTCTAGTCTTACTTCTAAATTTAAAACTAGTCATTAGCTTTTCAATGCCATTCTGGGTTCTGTCTCCTTTGATAGGTTATAATAAATATTTACAGATTGCTACAATTTTGCAGTAATACCAAATTATTTGTGAGAACTACAGATTTCTAGAATAAAATCTTTACCTATCATTTCCTTGAAAATCAAGAATGTAGAGCAATAACTTTTGTCAGCATTCCCCCTTCTGTTCAGGAATATATTTCTTTTATAGCAAAATTCCTGGCTTGGGAATGAATAGAAATTTCTCATGGTGAAAATATATATATATTGGAACCATATTGTTTATGACTTATGCCATAAAATATCACATATGTGCTGTTGAGCAAAAATAAGTCTAGAAACAGTATTCACTTTGTGTCTCTAAGTTCTTCTCCAAGTATACTTTTTTCAGAATACAAATGGTTTTCCTAGTATGTATCCAAAAGATTGTAATTCCAGTTCTTGAGACTCCATGTGAGTTTGCCTACCTGCATTGCCACGGGTCTGGCATAAATTTGCTCCATATAATTGTTGAATATCAAATAAATAAATAGAATTTCAAGTTTCACTACAGTGTTTACAACGGATGTCCAGAAGATGACGAATGTTACCCCCATCCAAGTACTAACCAGGCCCAACCCTGCTTAGCTTCCAAGATCAGGTGCACTCAGGAGCTTTCTGTAGTATGGCCGTAGACGACTAATATTACTAATCTACTTAAGTGACTCATTCAGGCTTCAATCTTTTCTATTTTTTAACTTTTTAATATTTTCATTGAATAATTTTGTTTTACATCAATGTTTCCTTCATGGAATGTGACCCCCCCTTCAGGCACTGGCCATAGTTCACCCACCACCAAAGAATCCATATCCCACCACCATCTCCCCTTTTGCTCCCCGATTTTATTCTCATTCCTTCTTCTCCCTTTCCTTTTCCCCAAACAACTGAACTACTGGACATTTAAATAAATTTGTAAAACACTGAAATAATGGTAC